AAAAAAAAAAAAAAAAAAAAGAAAGAAAAGAAAAGAATTTGAGGAAAAGCCAACATGCCGCTAGTGGAATGGCAGATCTGGGTGAGTCTAGATCCTTTATAATACTACTGAGCAATAGAACCAACACCAGCAACCCTTAACTTTGGGCTTCTATTCTTACATGAAAAATAATTCCCTATTTAATTAAACCACTGAATCTTAGTTACTTATTCTTGTAATATATCAGTGAGAAAACAAGACATTCTAGCAGGAGATGGAAGACCATGAATAATAAAATAAGGAAGCTATCGGGCATTGGAAAGTGGGGTGCTGTGAAAAGGAGTCAGTACAAAGGGGCGGGGAAACATGAATACAGGGTAGGAGGAGGAGTAGAGTTGTCAGAGGGACTCCATTGGTAAGAAATGAGAGAAACGAAGACTGGAAGGAGGTGGGCAAAGTGGGGGAGTTGGTCGTGTGGGTCCCAGGACAAGAACACTTAAGGCAGAGAGCTTCCAATTCAAAGTTCCTAGGGAAAAAGTGAGCCTGGCATGTCTGAAGAACCCCGAGCAGGCCAGTGTGGGTGGAGCAGAGTGAAGGGAGGGGTAGATTAGTTGAAGACGAAGTCAGGGGGGAAAAGAGTCAGATCAGAAAGGGCTCTGTGGGCCAGCAGGAGGACGCTGGCTTTTAATCTGAGTAAGGTGGGAGCCATGGAGTATTGTAGGCAAAGAGGAGGTGACCTGACTCAGGTGTCCACAGTGCCCTCTTGCTGCTGTAGGGAGAAATACTAAAGGCGGGCAGGGGAAAGCTGGCACGGGGCAGAAAGAAGTCAGATTCTGTACACACTTTGAGGAAGAGCAAACAGGATTTGCGGATGGTTGGTGATGGAGAGTGAGAGGAAAAGCGAGTCGAGGACACTCCCTGGCTTCCTGCTGAGCAGCAGAAGGGTAGGGGGCCCTCCTTGGGAATGGCTGGTGGGAGGACCAGAAGCTCGGTTTGAAACACGTTACATTTCTGATATCTACTAGCCATCAAAGTGGGGCCACCGGTAGGTAGTTGGTTATATGAGTCTAGAATTAAGGAGAGGGGGCTGGACTGCACATTATTTAAAATTTGGGAGTCATTGCTAATAGATGGTGTTTATAGCCATGAGATTGGATGAGCTTTGCTGTGCAGACAAAAATGTGTGCTTCAGCGGAAAACGATGTGTTATCAGGGGACCCCTTATCTAGTGGGAGCTATTTTACTACTCTACATTTTAAATAACTGACAGCAATGCTAAATAATTCTGTGGAAAAATCAATTTTACCTCCATTTGCACATTCATTTAAATATTTATGAAATTATATATAGGCATTATAATTCATATGTGGAGTACATATATAATATATGCAAACTTATACATATTTTATACTCTAATTTTTGTATATTTATTACTGCATGTATAGCTCTGTTATATATAATTGTATGATATATTATATATTATATATTATATATATAATTATCAATGAGGGAAACAGGCAGATGTTATTACTGGCTCAAAATAGAATGCAAAAAACAGACATATATATGTGTTACACAATACATACTACATAATGTGTAATGTATACAACATATTTAATGTACACATAATGGACATTATATAATGTATATGTCTATAATGCATGCATAATATGTGATACACATGATATACTGTATGCAATGCATATAAAATATACATACTGTACATTACATAATACATATATATGTCTGTATTTACTCTTTTGAGCCAGTTATAACATCCGCCTGGTTCCCTCGCTAATCAGTGAGTAGAATTAAGGCCCTTAATGTATGCTCATTTTATATCTGTATGAGTCATGATTTTATCTCGTTTAGGTCACAAAGCTACTAAGAGGCAAAGCTCAGATGTTAACCAGGCAGCCTGGCACCCGAACCCCACACGTTATCCGTGAGCCAATAGACAGGGACACGCTTCGCTCGCAGCAGGCGCTAACTCACAGCTGCGTCGTGTTTGCTAAGAAACAGGCGTGCCACCCGACAGACCCTGCGTCAAACACGCGGTCTCACCACTTTGGAGGTGGAGGGGATGGAGGACAGAAGGATCCCTGAAGTCTGGGACTGGGAGCTGGGCTTGGCCTTCCTGGTGATCCATCTCCTGTATTCTTCCCGCACCTGGAGTTGGACACAGACGGGGCGATGAGTCACTCCCGGGCGCAGGAAGTGTGCTCCACGGGCACGGCCCGGGGACAGGGGACGTCAGGGATGGGAAGAGCAGCAGCTACCTACCTGGCGGTTGAGCACGCAGTGAATGAGGAAGATGAAGGCTCCCTGCAGGCTGTTGATGATGGTGAACAGGTAGGCCATGACACTGGCTATGGGTCCTATCTGGAAAATGCCCAACACCCAGGAGCACCCCAAGATGAAGAGCTGGGCGAAGGCCTTGAACGTCAGCAACCTGGAGGAGAAGATTTGCAGAGGATAAGGTGCTGGGAGGTGGCGGTTGTCCTTGTGGGCCATGCTCCCAGAAGTGGTCCGAGGCTGCCACTCTATGACCCACCGCCAGAGGGAAATAAACATGGGGTGGAGTCTCCAAGCCTAGAGGCAGGAAAACCTAATCCTATAGGCCTCTGAAAGGCAGTGTACCTACAGACAGACACGGGCACAGCGATGTGTGAACACATGCATTTAACGCTATATGTCTGAAAGCTAGGAGGACAAACATGTCCATGAATTTGGGACACATTAAATCAATGGTGAAGCCATACTATGAAACACTATAAAGTCCTTTCTTATTGAGGTAAAACTTAAGCTACATAAAATTCACTATTTTTACCATAAAGTGTGTGATTCAGTGGCGTTTAGCACAGTCATAATGTTATCCGAACATCACTACTACCCAGTTCCAAGACATTTTATCATCCCAAGAAGAAACCCATATCTATTAAGCAGTCATTCTCCATTCCCCTCTCCTCCAACTAGAAACAACCCAGATGGCCACCAAAAGATGAAGGGATGAACACAATGTGGCCCATCCATGCACTGAAATACTATTCAGCCATGAAAAGGAGAGCGGCGCTGACACTCGCTACGACTGGGAAGGGCCTTGAACACATGACGCTCAGCGGGAGAAGCCAGACACAAAAGGCCACACAATGTGTGATTCCATTTATGTGAATGTCGAGGACAGGCACATCCACAGAAAGCAGATTAAAAAAGAATTTTTTAAATGAAATGAGAATGACAGTATACTATAGAGGATACGAAAGGTTCAGGCTCTGGGTCAAACTGCCTACAAATAAATTCTCACTGATTTATTTACTAACTAACTGGCCTAGTAAGTTACTTCACCTCACTGTGCCTCAGTTTCCTCCAAATGATATAGAGATAACACAATACTGACACGATTGTTTTGCAGATTAAATGAGATGACAAGGCCCTAAAGGTGTGTAGAACAGTGTGTGGCACAATATAAGCATTTTTGTTAGTTTTAACCTTAAGTATTATATAAACTATCCATTACGTGGAAAAAAACAAAGTGCCGGATGGTGTGTAGAATATCCTAGCACTTATGTAAAAGCAGGAGGGTGTGTAAGTAGACAACTTTGTGGACAGAAGCTCAATTCGAGTGATAATAGCTGCTTAAGGTGGGAGAGATCTGGGGACATGGGGTGTCAGGGAAGAGAGAGGGAATTAATTTTCACGCGTTCTCTTTGTGAACTCGGAGGAAAAAAGACACTTATCCAAGAAGGGCTCCTGGTGACTAACTGGGCTCAAATTTGAAAAAACAGAACCTAGCAGCCACTTCTGCACAGGGGCCTCTGAGGCAAACTGCACTTTACCAGGCCCAGGCCTGCCTGCCTCTGGACTAACTGCCCACCCGCACTGGTTTCTGCCCCCTGAGCCAGCCCTTATAAAGGAGCTCTTGGGATCCTATTTCTACCAGCAGGACTGAGGCTTTCCCCATCCACCAGAGCTGCACAGCTCCAGCTGACCAGAGCAGCTCTATTCTGACCGATCAGGACGGTGACTTTTGCACCAAACTGTGAGGATTTGGAGTCCTCATTTCCATGAGGACAAACCAACCAGGGACCAGGGGTAGGGAATTCTGTCCCTATAAGCCAAGTCCCCTCTCCCTCAGCCAGCACACATTTCCTTTCCACCAAAGACAGAGGGCTGTGTCTCCCTGGCTGAGACCTCAGGAGATCTCCCACCAGAGCACAGTGCCAAGTAAACCAGCTCCACCGAGCCAGAGCAGAGCCGGGCCTGGCCCGGGGCTGCCTCGGGGCCACGGTTTCCGCAACCGTGCTCAATCACAATCCAGCTGTTTTGCACTGAATAAAGTTTCCTTCTTCAAATTGGAGATTCCTGTTGGAGTTGAATTGCACCACCATCAGCTGACATCTTTTACACTACTTAATTTTTCTTACCATTGTAGGTATTAACTTTGAACTTTTTACATTAACTTTTTAAAAATAATCTTTAGAAAAAAACATTTAAGATGGATGAGGGATTGAACACTGTCAGAACAACAAGCTGGGGACTCGGACATCAGGTTGCTGACAATAAAACCTACACGATGTCTGGTTTCAGTAGGTTCTTAAAATGAAAATTAGTCCAGTGATTAAGTTAGGAAACACAAATGGTCTGATAACGGAAAAATAAAATGGAGCAAGCACTGCTACTCTTCACTTAAAATAGAGTTAGGAGGCTCTTAGGGAAGTGGAGCCTCTGCAAGACCTCTGCCTCCGTTCTCACAGCTCCTATTAAGTCGCTCATGGGCTGCTAAACTCAGCTCAAGGCCGAGCCATGAGCATCCTGGAACAACATACGAAATTGCCCTCCTCTGTGTAGTTTTTACCCGCCTTGGTTGCATATTGAACTAACCAGATCCCGGTAACCTAGCCAGCAATCCTTCATTTGCAGGAAAGAATTACACTGGAGTTTTTGCTTTTACAAACCCTGTCCTTCTTTGTTCTCTCCAGAGCACTTCTCAGGTTTTCCCCCTGAATGTGTCTCCCAGTTTCAAATCTTTTTAAGACCCCCAAAAAATTTTAAGTTGCTTACAGTCTCAGATCTTTATTGGCCCATAGGTCTATAAAAATATGAAAAAGTCCCACATCTGTAAGATAAAATTACATATGTGAAACTAAAGTAATAAGATTGTGTATTTCACCAATTAATTCTGCAAAAACAACGCAACAAAAAAATGATTAATTCCAATGCTGGCAAAACTGCAGGTAAACAAGCACTTACAAATGAGGAAAAATTTTCTGGAAAACTACTTGCAATATATACTATAAGTGTTACAATCCAATCTACCCTTTGATTCTGGCAATTTCATGCCTCCTGTTACGATTTCCCAGGTTTGGAAAACTTTATGTAAAAGAATATTCAATACAGTATTGTTTATAGTAGAAAAAAGTAATTTATATGTCCATAAGGGATGATTTAAATAAGTTATGCTGTGTCCTTACACTGAAAGGCTATGCAAAAAATAAAGACTGTTGATGAGTTTCTAATTAAATTAAAAAACACTCATGACATGTTAGAGGAAAATGGTAATAAAAATAAAATAGCGTTGTTTTTGCAAATATGTGCATATAAGTACGCACAGAAGAATTAGAAAATGTATGAATAGGTTCAATTTATGAAACACTCTTCCTAGTAAACTGTGTTGGTGTAGGTAGCTAGTTAGTATTAATAAAGGGAGGGAGCAAAGGGGATCTGCCATTAAGCCTAATAGACCAGGGAGCAGAATAGGATATTAAGCCTGCTTCACTAGAAGTTGCAGCATTCATAGGCTCCCCAGGGGACCCCCACATTCTCACCCTGGGGACCTAACATCCTAAGTCTGCAGAAGGAACCTCCCCAGGCACATCCAGCTGGCCAGGTACCGGGATTATCAAGGGGAGCAGGGGCGAAAGTCCTTTGCTAGGCGCACGCCAGTAGGAGCCCAGATGGCAACCACAGAGGGGAGGCACCTAGCCTGGGAAAAGAATCAGGTTGGACGTGGGCACAGAACCCCCATAAGGTCCACGAAAGGGAACGATTTGGGGGCGGGCCCAGCACAAGCCCAGAAAAACCCAGGAAGTTGGTCGGATAGTTTGAAAGCAATCTTACCCGTTCCCCAAAACCAAAAAAATATGTGGAGCATTATCAAGGATCTTGGCGCAATTGCTGCTAGAGCCTGCCAGCTCTTTACATCCCCAAGGCCGTATTATTTCCCTTCACCCCAATACATCTTGCCACTACATTTAAACTGCTCCCACACACGTGCCCTTTGAAATTCCTTTCTCATGCCACTGCAAGAACCCATCTTCACCAGCAACTACTGTGCTAAGTGCTTCACAAGCCATATAACGTGTGCAGTATGAATATCTCCATTCTATAGGTGAGGAAACCGAGTTTCAGAGAGGTTACATAACTTGCCTAAGGTCACACAGCTTGTAAGTGGCAGAGCTGGGGTTTGAGCCCCCAAATCTAGACACTATACTATTCTGTCTTGGGTAGCAGACCAGGCAAGAAAGAAAGAAGGGAGACTGGAAGAAGAGAGAGAAGGAGGAGGGGACTGCACCTGGTATCTTTGAGTGTTGAGACTTCAGCATTGACGCTGGAAAGTTTCTGCCTCAGGATCCACAATGTCCAAGTCAGAAGGATGGAATTGATCTACAAAATCAAGCCAAAGGGATTGAGGGATTGGATATACAAACTGTTAAGAGAATAAATAAAATGGAACAAGCATTATACTAAGAGAGAAACTTAAAAATCGACTCAGGAAGCTATGAGGGAAGTGGGGCCTCTGCACAACTTGTGCCTCAGTTCTCAGAGCTGCTATTAAGTTGCTAATCAGTTGCTAAACTCAGCTCAAGGCCGAGCCATAAACATCCTGGAGCAGCAGAGGGAAACTCCTTATAATTTTCACCTCCTTTGTTACTAACCAAGCCTGGAAAGAATCACACTTTGTTTGGGGGTTTTGCCTTTACAGACTCTGCCTTTCTTTGTTCTTCCCTGGAGCACAGTTTAGGGTTGATACCTGAATAATCTGTGTCTCCAAAGCTGCAGCTCCTTTGCTGAAATAAATGCTTTTCATTTTTTATCACAGCTTAAAATTAATTTTGGTTGGTAAAACAGACAGTGGACAAGCCATCTTTAAAAATGGAACTCTGACCCAGTCTTCAGTAACCACTCCAGGAAGCCCAAAAATAACTCCTGTAGCAACTGACCCCAAACAACCAGGACTTGATTAATAATTAACAGCTTCCTTCATTTCTACCCCTGATTCCAACTTAGGCCCAAAAGTAGAAAGCCCGTATGTATCCATAGCCCACCTATGGGATCCCCATGCCCACAGCCACTGATCAGGGCGCACCTGAGGTCTCTCTTTTTACCTCTATAAAGCTTTCTCTCCTCAGCCTGCTTTTGAAGCTAACAAATCACGGGATGGTGGCTGACTCCCTTACTATAGCAATCTCTGGATAAATAGCCTTCGCTTGTTCTCATTTGGGTAATCTTCGTTTATTTCCACTGGATGCATCTGTGAAGTTGAATTGTGTCCCCACCACCACCACCCCCTAAATATATGTTTAAGTCCTAATCCCCAGCACCTCAGATCTAATTTGGAGATCTGGTCTTGGCAGAGGTGATCAAATTAAAATGAAGTCAATATGACTGACTGGTGTCCTCCTAAGAAAAGGAGATTAGGACACAGACACAGACATGCACAGAGAATGACCATGTGAGGACACTGATCGCAAACAGACATCTACAAGCCAAGGAGAGCCTGAGGCTGCCAGCAGTTGGAGAGACGGGAACAGATCCTTCTCCACGGCTTTCAGAGGAAGCTTGGCCCAGCCAACCACTTGATTGCAGACATCTAGCCTTCAGTACTGAGACAATAAAATTCTGTTGTTCTAAGCTACCAGTTTGTGATATTTTGTTCTGGCAGCTCTAGAAAACTAACATATGGCCCTGAAAAATCTGAAAGAGGTCAGAGCAAAACTCTCTGCAGGAATACAACTGCAATAATTCCCAATGTTTAGATGGGTCAAATATAAGATCATAGTTAACTATTGCAAGTGACACAAGGAAACAAGGCACCATGAGTGAGAGTCTGAAGAAATAATCATCTTGGAAGACCAGAATCAGGGTTGGAGCCAAGGAGGCAGGACAGGGTCATTGCTCAGCATCCCTCAGGATTCCCAGAGAATAGACTTGTGGTTGCCAGAGATGTGCGGAGGTGAATTGGAGAAATGTTGGTCTAAGGTTCCAGCTTCATTTATGCAAGGTGAGGAATTCCCCGCATCTAATCTACAGCATGGTGACTGCAGTTAACAATATTGTGTTGTATTCCTGAAATTTACCGAAAGGGTAGATCTTAAATGTTCTCACCTGCCATTTTCAACAACACGGATGGGTCTTGAGGGTTATTAGGATAATGAAATAAGTCACATGGAAAAGGAAAACTCCATACGATTTCACTCATAGATGGAATATAAAACAGAAAGTAACAAACCAGCAAAACAAAACAAAAACAAACTCATACACACAGGCAACAGAATGGTGGTTACTAGAGGGTAAGAAGGGTGGGAGAGAGGGTGACCTGGGTAAAGGCATAAATATATGGTAATGAAAAGGAACTAGACTTTTGGTGGTCAGCACACAATAGAGCACACAGATGTCTTATTATAATATTGTACACCTGAAATCTATATAACACTACAACCAATGTTACCGCAATAAATATAACTTAAAAGAAAAAATGGTAACTGTGTGAGGTGACAGAAATGTTAATTAGCTGATGGTGGTGATCATTTCACAATGTATACATATGTCAGAACTTCAAGTTGTTCACTTTAAACATACACAATTTTTATTTGCCAATTATACCTCAGTGAAGCTAAAAAAAAAACCTCTACCTTTTCTTTCGTTCAACATCTGTGCTCAGAAGAGATTAACAAACCTATTTTACTGAAACACAAAGGACTGAGAAGACTGTGGTCCCTCCCAGGAGATCTGCATGTTGCATTAAAAAAATCACAAGTCAAAAATATTACACCCCAACTTGGAAGTCTCAAGAATCAAGGATCAGAAGAGAGAACATTTGAGAGGAGTAAGTGACCTCGGCTATGCAAAGCCCACTGGCACTCCCTGGTCCCTTGGTCAGGTCCCTCCTCCAGAACCCAGGCCCCAAGCAATTTGCTTACCAGAATGATGGTGCAGACTGGCCCCAGGAAACTCCAGATAAGCCCTGTCTCCGTACTCAGCCAGCAGCTACGGAGAGAAACAGGAGTCAGTGCTGGCCTCCAAGTCCTGACCTTAGAGTTAATTACTCCAGCCCCACCAAATGCACTAATGAAGGAGAAAATTGGTAGATGAAACAGAGATTTTTTAAAAAAAAAACTCATGATGGGGCAGGTGGAATTTCAGTTTTCTTTGGACTCGAGCAAGTCCTTTCTGGCCTTCTTCCTGAGTAAATGTTCCTGAAATGTTCACTTAATACCGAGTAGGGACTCTCCCTCTTTTCAGGACTCTCATGGCACACCTTGTCATTCAAATGTCACGTCCTCAGAGAAGCCACTCCTGACTATCCCCATGGAGATATACTGTCCCTACTCCTGGTCCCTCTCTAGCAGAGCTTACTCCCTTTTTTACAGCATCTGTTGGTATCATAAATACCGCGTTCAGTTGTTTGCTGACTGGCGGATTTCCATCTTCCCCTACTGGACTGTGACCTGCTTGAGAATTCAGACCGTGAACATCTGTCCATTTCTGAACACCCAGAACTGCTATGGAAGAGGCATCCCATAACTATTTGTTGAAAGGAAGGAAGGATCTTGCCCTTTGCAGCAACATGGATGAAACCTGAGGGCATTGCACTAAGTGAGATAAGTCAGGCATTGGAAGATAATACCATATGACCTCACTTATATGTGGAATCTTAAAAAACAACAACAAACCAAGCTTCTAGGTACAGAGAACAGATAAGTGGTTGCCAGAGGTGGGGATGGGGGTGGGATGGGGGATGAAAGGAGTTAAAAGGTGCAAACCTCCAGTTAGAAAATTAATTAGCCCTAGGGATGTAATATAAGCATGGTGATTATAGTTAATAATGTTGTGTTGTATTTTATGTTTTGAAGTTGCTAAAAGAGTACATGTTAAAAGTTCTCATCACAAGTAAAAAATGTGTAACGATGTGGGGTGACGGTTGTTAACTAGACTTACTGTGGTGATCATTTCACAATATATAGAAATAGTATTTCATCTGTATGCTGTCTTTATTAAATATGCACCTCCAAGTCCAAACATAAACCATGCGTTACATTAGAGCATACTATTCTGGTTTACAAATGATAGCTACACATTTTCCAGAAACATACTGACATTATACTCCAAACTTATGTTAGATTTCCAAAACCCACCTCCAGTGTGTTTACCATGTGTATATGTTGGTTTTCATCCTGTGCTGTAATGATAGGCAATCTAGTCCCTGGAATCAGTGAAAATCTGCCCTATTTAGGCAATTGATTGCTATGACCATTGGAAAATATAAGACTTTCAAGTTATTTGGGAGTCAGATGAAAAGTAAATATATTAGCTATAAGAGAACATTCCATTTTGTTCACAATGATCCATATGGGATATGACAGATAACTAAGGGATCAGAGCTTATAATACACTTTTATTAGATAAAGCCCTTTTAATCACTTCCTTTAGTCTCCTGAATTACTCCATAGTAGCTATAATTGTTTTATGCTTTCCTCTGAATGCCCAATTAGCAATGGTACCCCTGTCTCCCTTCCCCTTAGCAATAGCATAAACATAGTCATTCAATTAAATTTATCTTTAATTTTGAAACTCTACAGAGAGATTGGATGATGTGATCATGTTGCATCCTTAGCAATTATGGTGTAGGCTGAATTCAGTACTTTGACAAAGTGGGGACAAGCAGCGAAACCAGTGTCCTTTGCTCTTTTATCTCCCTGTGCTCTGTAAAGCTAACTCTTCATGTGAAGCCTGGAGAGGGCAAAGTGGCTCCTGATGAATGCAAGGTTTGTTTTGCTAAATATGTTTATGGCTTTTTCTGCTATGAACTAGTCACTGTATGATTGCATGCAGTGAATGGGCAACTGTGTGTACCTGTAAATGTCATGCAAAGATTCTAAACCTTTCCATTTCCAGTGTTAATTGCCTGTGGCCTCCTGTTGCTGCATATGGAGCTCTCTGTTGAGTTTAGTAACACAGAGTAATGCTTTGGCTTTCTGTGGCGGATTACGCACCTCTTCATAAGCATATTTACGAAGGCATCCATAGTAGGCACTAGGACAGAAGATTTTTGGGAAAGTGTATTTGTGCTTTGGAATTAAATTTTCAAGCCACAATGCCCTGGGCTATGAAGTGATGGACAGATTCTTTCTGGAACAACAACAACAAAAATCCATCATTCAAAATGATTATCTATATGTAAAAACTGTGCATAGTTTTGATTCTGGCTGAGTTTTTCGTTTTTAATGTCCTTCTAGGAGATCGCCGGGAGAACTGTACTTAAACAGCGGAGGGAGGAAATATGCTCGCTCTCTCCTGCTCTCCTGGAAAAGCCCATCTGCGTGAGAGAAGCGAGGTGTGTTGTTTCTTCCAGGCGGCTTTGTCCCGCCTTCATATTCTTTGTCTTCGTGGGTTGTAAAGTAAGCAAAAGCAGGGAACTGAAAAAGGCTTAGATGGTCACAGGAATCTTAGCAAAACCTCAACCTAGTAATAGGACAGAGACTTTGTCAGCGTATATCGGAGGGGCAGGTCCCAGGCTCTCCCCTTGGTGGGCTCAAGCCACAGGGCTCTGTGCCGACGGGAGCCTGCGGCTGCTCGGATCCGCCAGGAATCCAGAAGGACAGTGACGATCTTCCGAGGAAAACGACGTCAACACGTCCATGTTCTACTCGTGTTAGTTTATGGACAGTTCCAAAGTCATTAAAGGGGGACAAGCCTGGTTATTGTTACCATTTCTTTCTTAGTCTAGTTTTGCCTTGTTGTAGACACATAGTGAATGGCATGCTCAAAATCGTGGGTGAATATATACAAATATCGAATCACTGTGTTGTACACCGGAACTAATATTAATCCTATTGTATGTCAAGTATACTGCAATAAATAAATAAATATGAAAAAGGAAGGGGGAGGGGGAGGGAGGAAAAGCAAACACAGCATCGCTCTGTCCACCATGCCTCTCGTGGGTGTCAGCAGCCATCCAGCAAGCTGGCGACAGCCCCCTGCCCTCCCTCAGCAGACACCCCCCACTCCTCCCCCGACAGCAGGCGAGCAATCACACTCGGACAACCACAGGCTCTACCCTTGGCGCTTCTCCGGGAGCAGAGCTCTAAAGGCAGGGAAACGTTTGCAACGTAAGAGGCTGGCCACACCCTATCGGGACCCGCCACACCCTTTTGGGACCGGCCACTGAAGTCACACTGGCTCTTTCCCACCCGCCTCTGCTGCTCCGCGGGCCAGCGTCAGACTAACAGCGCCGGCGGCTTCGCCCTCCTGGGAGCAGCCCAGCCGAGGGCTGACGGCGGGAGCTGGTGGGCAACCGTGCCCGCTCCATCAGCCTTGGTGGGACGATGGTGCTGCGCGCCCCGCGGTCTCCCCTGGGCACCGTGGTACTAAGCCCAGTGACCCGCAGCAGTACCTGCTGGTGAATGCACCCTGCCCGTTCCTCCTCCCTGCCTCACTGCCCCACTCCCTTCCTAAGATCGTCTCAAATCCTGTCGATGATACTCCCCCTTCCCCAGATCTCCGTGGTTCCCACCACCTACAGGTATTCTCCAGCATGCCCACCTCAGTTTCCCACCTTCCCGCCCAGTGCATCTGTTCTTCAGACACACCTCCAGCTCTCCCCCTCGGGCGAGGTTTTACCTTCACCTGTGTTCTACCCCCTTTCCTCTTTCCTGCGTACATTCCAGTAGAGCTTTTAAGGCTCAAATTCTACCTCCTCCAGGAAGCCTTCCATGAACTTTCCAGCTTTCATACACCATCATCCTTCTCTGGTCTGTGCCAGGGCTTATACTATCTACACCATTGTCGCTGCCATCTCCTGAAAGAACGGCCAGACCTGGACTCAGCTGGGAAACTGCCTAGTTATGTGACCCGGGCGATTTCTGCAGCTGTCCTGAGCCTCCAGTTCCTCTGCAGCCACCATTTATTAAGCTGTTTCTCTATGCAGGGTTGGTCTCGGGGCTGCCGTGTATAGCAGCAGAGGCTGTGCGCTGCACAAATCCCGGGTACCATCTATTCTGTACATAATGACACTCTCCGTTTTTACACGGGATTTTTGTCAGGAAGTGCCAGAGATAGGGTTGTAAGGCTTACAGGGTTTAGGGGCTCACTGAGTATGAATTCCTTTTCCTCACCCCTTATCTCATGACCTTACCTGAAGTAAAAACCATCATCAGAAAGAGAGGAAACCTGGGTAATTTAACCCCCACCCCAAACACACCCCAGCCAAGTGCCTATAGCTCGCAGTGATAAGCAGAGACCCTGGAGTTGGAAAGACTCAGATTCATGTCCCCACACTGCCCCCTTCTCACTGTCCTAGCAAGAAAGGCTTTCACTCCTCTGAGCCTGTTTCCTCAACTGTAAATTAAAGTAGCAACACTAGCCCAGCCGGCATGGCACAGCGGTTGAGCATTGACCTAGGATCCAGGAGATCACGGTTCGATTCCCGGTCAGGGCACATGCCCGGGTTTTGGGCTCGATCCCCAGCAGGAGGTNGGATCCAGGAGATCACGGTTCGATTCCCAGTCAGGGCACATGCCCGGGTTTTGGGCTCGATCAGGAGGCNCAGATTCATGTCCCCACACTGCCCCCTTCTCACTGTCCTAGCAAGAAAGGCTTTCACTCCTCTGAGCCTGTTTCCTCAACTGTAAATTAAAGTAGCAACACTAGCCCAGCCGGCATGGCACAGCGGTTGAGCATTGACCTAGGATCCAGGAGATCACGGTTCGATTCCCGGTCAGGGCACATGCCCGGGTTTTGGGCTCGATCCCCAGCAGGAGGTGTGCAGGAGGCAGCCCATCAATGACTCTCTCACCATTAATGTTTCTATCTCTTCTTTCCTCTCTCTAAAATCAATAAAGATATATTTTTTAAAAATTAAGTAGCAACACTACCTCGGTCTGTGATAGAACTAAAGGAAATAACGGCGAGGTACAGTCTCTGCCCCATCGACCTATTCTTTGTCCTGTAATTTACCTCATTTTTCCCTCAAAATTGACTCCATCTTTTACTTGTACAAATTGTGTCTGTGAAATCATGAGTCTGGTATTCCAGCAATTTTTTTCTAACTATCTAAAAAATAAATACTTATTAAAATTAGCACTTACCAGCATACTGTGTAAAATCATCTCACATGGAACATGTGATAAACATACCTCACCTCACTTAAAACAGACAGTGTAATAACAGTGGTGATGATGATGATGTATAGGATGCTTTCCTCTGTGCCCAGCACCGTTTTAGATGTGCAGATAGTAACTCGCTTCACCCGCACAACAACACTCTGATGTGAGCATTGTTTTTAGCCCCCGCTGTACAGGGGAGGACAGGGAAGCATGTAGATGTTAAGTAACCTGCCCAGCTGAGCACAGCTAGGAGGCCGTGGGGCCAGGCTCAAAGTCAAGCGGGTTGGCTCCAGAGTCCATGATTTTAAAACTGTACAACCAAGCCCTGGCCGGGTGGCTCAGCTGGGTGGAGCACCGCCCTGTACACCAAAAGGCTGCAGGTTCAGCTCCTGGTCAGGGCACATCCCTAGGTTGCAGGTTCCATCCCTGGCTGGGGTGCATACGGAGGCAACTCACCCATGTTTCTCTCTCTTTCTCTCTCTCTCTCTCCTTTCCTCTCTAAAATCAATAATAAAACAGATCCCCGGGTTAAGATTTTTTAAAAACTGTACAACCAAGTCCACTGTTTACATCACTGTCGTGCAAACAAGCTCCTGGATTTGTGCAGCCTGTGCTACTGTACACGGATGGCCACCCCGAGAACAACAGTACACAAAACATCCACTAAATGGTAGCCACACTCCTGATATTGTTGTTGCTCTCCTTGTGGCTCCTGTAATTGTCCTCGTGAACCCCGGCAGCAGGGCCTTAGGCGGGGAGGGAGATGTCACTTACCGGTCATGCGTCCCGTAGCCCTGTGGCCGCGCGCTGACGGCGACGACCACCACCAGCGCGGGGAGCCCGTAGCCGACGGCGCAGAGATACGGCATCTTGATGTTGCGAGAGTGGAAGTAGTTTACCACCTTCAGGTTCCTGACCATAAGGAAGAGCATCCCGGCCTCCACCAGCATCCAGAAGAAGCAGGCGAGGAAGAAGTAGTGCAGGAAGCCCGCGATGATGGAGCAGCCTGTCTGGGGAGCAGAGGCGTGTGCACTCAGGACTCCCCTCCCCTGTGCCGAGGGTCAGGGTCAGGGGAAGAAGGCAGGAGGTGGACCACTTGAAGGGCATTCCCCAAGCACAGCCCACTCATTCATTCAGTCCACAGACATGTATAGAGCTGTGCTTTGCCACAGGTGGCGCCATCCCTTTGGTAGGGTGACCAGTCGTCCTGGTTTGCCTGGGACTGAGCTTTCCAGGACATGTAACTGTCAATGCTAAAAGTGGGAGAATTTGGGGTAAAAATGGGTAGATGATCACCCTACTTTAGGAGATGATTGAAGATACAGGGGTGGGAGGTTCGCAAACTACAGCCACTGGACTGGCTGCCTGTTTGATAAATAATGTTCCATGGGCACACGGCCACACCCGTTAATGTATCTTCTATGGCTGTTTTCATGCTAAAACAGCAGAGTTGAGTAGTTGCAACAGAAACCGTAGGATATCAGTATTCTGTGTCTTTACAGAAGTTTGCCCAACGCTGGCCAAACGATGGGAGTGGGGTGCACCACCAGCATTTACTTCCCAAAGGGACTGGGAAGCCAAACATCACGCAGTGAGGGTGTGGTTCTGTACAAAGAATGGTCACCCACCCAAAATGTCAATAGTGCTCCTTTTGGGAGAACCCTGAGAGCCTACTTTGTTTCTGGCACAGTTCTGGGGGTAAACTGGCCAAAGTTCTTGCTCTCAGAGGGTACACAGTCTAGTGGAAAGGTAGATATACAATAAAACAACAAGTAATCAATATAGTTTCAAGTAAGTGTTGGGAATGAATGAAAATGGAGTGGTAGGCAGTTTCTCGGTTGTAGCAGTATTGACAGCTGCAAACTACTGCCAGATTATTTTCTGTTGGTGGGGGGAGGGGACGGGGGCTGTCCTGTGTGTTGTAGGATGTTTAACAGCATCTCTGGCCTCCACCCCCTAGATGCCAGCAGCACCCCTCCCAGTGGTGACAATCAATAATGTCTCCAGCAGTGCTAAGTGTCCTCCAGGGGACAGAATCATCCCAGGTGAGAACCAGTGGTTTAAAGAGTGATAGGAGGGACTACCACAATATATAACATGATCAGGGAGATGATTTTAAACTGAGACCAATCACTAAGAAGGAGTCAACCAGGTGAGGTGCTGGAGGATGAGTATTATGAAAAGGGCACAGCATGTGCAAAGGTCCTGAGGTGGGATCTACTATAGAGAGAGCTGGGTAGGGGTGAGCAGAGGCAGATGTGGAGGTAATGAAGCTGGGTGGGATCCTAGCCTGAGGGATGTGAGACCTGGTTGTCAGTCTTGTCTACACCGGTGAGGAAGAGAATCTTGGCCAAGAAGAGGCACACGCAGAGGTGCAAGTGGAGGTAGGTGTTGCGGCTGCGAATGGCACGACACAGCAGGAAGGTGGCGATGGCGAAGATGAGACACACCAGGGAGATGATCATGCCCACGTAGCTAATGACGTACAAGGAGAAATCCATCTGTCAGGAAAGAGATAGGCCACTCAGACAGAGAAAAACATTCCCCTGGGCAGGAAAAATAGTTATACAGACTCCTGACTTTGGCAGAAAGAGCTTGGGGACCTTTTCTTCCTCTGACACTCAGTGTAAATTAGATATTGTCCATCATCATTCTTTGGCATCTATCAGCACCCATTCCCACCCCTGTCTCATGCCCTACTCCTGTATTACCAGGGCAGGATGTCCACAAACTACACTTCCCAGAATCTGTTGGGGCTAAGGTCCTGGAAGCCATTCAGGTTCTCCAATGAGATGCATACAGGGACGTTTGGGAAGGCAGAATGGAGGCAGATACCAACTTTCTGCAGACAGGAGTGAGCTGTGGCTGGACTCCTCATCCCAGCTGTGCAGTCTTTAATTCCATGGATGGGGAGTGGCCTGACAGCTGCAATTTTTATCTTCTCATTACAGCAGCAGAGGGGTGATCTTGAAGCCAAAATCCAAGTGGTAGCCCCCTGACTTCAACTCCGCCATCCCTTCCAACAATTTTGGGAGCATCCTGTTCCTTATGTTAAATCCCTTCCTGCTTGAAATACCTAGAGTGGTTCCTGTTTCCAGCACTGAACAAGGACTGATACATAGGTGTCCAGAGACACCCAGCTTCTGGGAATGGAAATGACAAGCTGAGTCCTTCCCATATACCATTATTCATCAATAATTTTTAACTAATTTTAAACTTATTTGACTGCTCTCTGTGTGTTAAAGATATGTAAAGATATGCCAGGTACCATCTCATGAGTTTCTCTCAACAATATTGTGACACAGTAGTTAAGAAAACTGACTACAGTTCTGCTTGTTTCTAGTTGTATGAGCTTGGACAAGACACTTAACTGCTCTGTGCCTCAGTTTCTTCATCTGTAGTAACTACCTATAAGGTAGGATAGGTTTAGGATTTTAGGAGCATTCAATGAAAATACTGAAATTGCAACTGTGCCACAAACATATTATGTACCGTAGAAGTGTTATCTGTCATCATTTTTCTCTTGTTCTCAATTCTGAGATGAAAGAACTGGGTTAAGGCTCAGAGACGCTAAGTGACTTGCCCAAGAAAACACAGCCAGGAAGTGATAGAGATGGGACTTAAAACTAGGTCAGTCTTGCTTGGCATCTGATTCTCGTAAGTCCTAAGCATTATATTTCTCTAAATAGCATTCAGGGACTAGGGACAGTGTCTTTCCTCTCTACCAAATCTACCCAATCACCAAGTCTCATTTCAAACTCTATTTCCTTCCTAATCTATCACCAGATCTCACTGAAATACTTCTGAATTCCCACAGCACAGCCTCTTGCACCATTTGTATAATTTAGTGGAAAGAGACCTCTGGAGCTAGACTGTTCAAATCCCACCTCCACCAATTATAAGCTTCATGACTGGGCAGACTCCTGAGCCTCAGTCTCCCATCCTATAAAATGAGTCTAAAAATAACAACTTAAAATAAAGGGTCTGACACCTAGTAGGTACTCATTAAGTAGGATCTGTGATTGGTATTGTGCTTGTACCTGTTTAGGGTCATTTCTCATTTGATACATGAATCTCATAGCTTCCCAACCAGACCATGAATTCCCCCAGGGCAGAGACATGGCTCACCTCCTCCATCCTCATGGCTCACTCACATAACACACAACACCATGAGAGGGCACACACAGATGTGGGGAACCAGGGCCCGGGCTGCCAGCACTGACCGTGAGCTCCCCCGAAGCCATGATGATCGCCAGGTTCGCCATTCGATTGCAGCTGCAGACGGTATACATCTTGGAGGCTTCAAGGACCATGCAGCCAGATGGTGTCCACCTACCGCTCCCCATGTCCGTGCTCCAGGAAACACAGATGGGCCTCTCAAACTTCTGCTTTGGCTGAAAATTCAAAGGCCCTGGTCACCTGAGAGTCCCTCTTGAGTGGATTCAATGTGATCACTCAAGAGTCATTTGGGGCAAGAAGATGCAGGTGTGTTCTGTAGGGAGTGGAGCAAAATGCTGATATGTCAGCGCACAGTCATGAGAAGAAATGTCTTGGGTGCCAGACCTGTCTCTGCCACTGGTTTGGTCATAGCTAATATGACTAAAACCCATGCGTATGTTCCTGCATCAACATTACATCATCTAACCTAAGCCTTATTTGCTGAGGAATACTATAGAAGGACACCACATAGAAATGGAAGAGCTCAGCCCTGGCGGGTGGCTTGGTTGGTTGGAATGTCGTCCCATAAACCAAAAGGCTATGGATTCAATTCCCAGTCAGGGCACATACCTAGGTTTCAGGTTTGATCCCCGGCCGTAGCATGTATGGGAGGCAACTGATCTATGTTTCTCTCTCTCTCCCTTCCTCTCTCTCTAAAATCAGGAAAAACATATCCCAGTGAGGATTAAGAAGACATAGAAGAGCTCATTCTTCTAAAACTGGGCTGAGTTGCTAGTAAAGGGGTTCCCATAAGAAATAAGAGTCAAGCCTGTCAATAGGTAGATGGGGGCCCAGTGGGACCTCTTTGCAAACCTCAATATTCTCCAGAGTGTAGATGACTGGGTCAGAGAACCCCTCTTTCTTCTCCCCCGTCATGATGCCCCCAATGATGCGAGAATTCATCTTCAGCTTCCTCTTGGAGTTGGTAAAGGGGGTCTGAGGGTCTTGGAAGAAGCTCTCATCTAGAACAGACTCCATACCCTCATAGGAGACAAACGCCACGCCAGTGGTTCCTGCAAGTCCCCCAAGTGCAAAAAAAAGGAATCATTTGCTCAGTAGGTATTACAGATGGCCCAACACATGCATACACATACATGTTTAATTCCCTGTGCATCACTGGCCTGCTCTGAGCACTGAAACACCAGTGGGCTTCCAGGTAACCCTCAGCGGAACCATAAAAACAAAATCCCAAGATGCCATCACCTGGAGAAATCTGGGCTACCTTTAAATATAAATTTGAATTTGTATTTTTAAGGGACAATTTGACTCAGCAGTGGGAATTCAGTTCCCCTCCCACGTTTTTGGTTGTTCTCATTTAGTCTCTTGGGTGAGTTTCCCCTTTCAATGTTGGTGGTCTTCAGGGATGTGTCCTAGGCCTGCCCCCTGTGCCCTCCGGAGAGCAAATAGATCAGGGGGTGGCTGATGATGGCCGACAGGCCAATGGAGCCATCGCCTGGGTCTGGGTTTTTTTTCCTAAATAAAAGTTGTATTGTAGCACAGCCACACGCATGCATTTACGTATTGTCTATGAATGCTTTTGCACTATGATGGCAGAGATGAAGAACTGGAACAGAGATTATATTGTCCTCAACGCCTAAAATAATTACCAACCAGCCCTCTACAGGAAAAGCTTGCCAACACCGATACAGAGCGGCACTGTCCGCTAGAAGCACAGTATGAGCCACATGTGTAATTTTAAATTTTCTTGTGGTCACATTTTAGAAAAGGAAAAACCAGGTAAAATTAATTATAATAATTTTTAACTCACACTGCAAAATAACATTTCAACATGCAATCAATATAAAAATTATTAATAAGATCTCTTACATCTTTTTCTTTTTGGCACCCAGCCTTTGGAATCAGTATAAATTCTACACTCACAGTTGTACCACATTTCAAGCGCTCAAGGACCAAATGTGGTCAGTAGCTGCTGCACTGGAGAGTGAAGCCCTCAGTACCCCAGTACTGTGAGAGTATTTATTCAATGTCTGATTTCCCCGGCAGATGAAAAGCTCCCTGAGGCCACGGACTACTTCTGCCTCCACCATCATGATTCCCTCACTGCTAAGAGGGGATCGATTAACATTTGCTGACTGAAGGCACCCAACCGCCCTCCTCGATTCTCACGGGCAGGTCCGTACCTACGGATTCCGATTCTTCAATTGTGGAACAGCTGATCATCATGTTATCCCCTTTGGCTTTCAAGTTAAAGGTCACATTCTCTCCAATGCACTCTTCCTTGATGACTTTGCTCTCAATATCTAAAAGGAGAAAGGGAGACCTTGCATGACATCAGCCAGAAAGTGGGTTGATCTGGGTTTCTGACACGGGTTCGCACCCTTGGTTGTAAGCCACGGAAAGAACAGAAAGGCCAATTGACCCTGGGGACGCACTTGAGCCCCTTCATGAACGATGGGCGGGTGGGAGCGGCAAACAAAGGAGTGGGAGCTCCAGGAGTGAGCTCTTACGCCTTAGGGGATGCATCAGCCAAAGATGGGTTGCCGTCAACAGTGACGAAGGCTACAACCTTATAGCACTCTCAATACTCCAAATTTAGCTGAGTTTTCCAAAGCCAAAGAGAACAGGAAGGGACTGAAATAAGCCCAGCATGTGGACAAGGGCTCAGGTTCTGCACTGACTGGGAGGTTCAGCTCTGCTGCTCCCCAGCTGTGTAAACTTGAGCAAAGTTTTAACCTCTCTGAGCCTCAGTTTTCTCACCTGTAACATGGCCATAATTATAGGACTTTTCCTGAAAACACAATAGATAATGGAACCAGAGATACCCTTCAAAATACAATGTCATTCCTCTTCTCAGATTCTCCAATTCTGCCCCCCAGTTTACTTCAAATAAAATCCCATGTCCCTACACTTGTCTCCAAAATCTTCCTCTCCCTTTCTTTTCTGACTCCTCCTACAGCTCTTACCATCCTCTCCTCCACGTCGGCCACACTGGCCTTCTCAGTGTTGCCTGAACTCACCAACTATTCCCATATTCGCTTTCTCCAAATATTTACATGGCTTCCTTCCCTCAGGTCCCTGCCCCAGTGAGACTCTTCCCTAACCACCCTGTGAGATAGCAACGCTCCCCTCATCCTGACCCCCTCTAGCCTCTTGTCCTACTGCATGTTTCTCTGTAGCACTAGCTCTGTCTGGTATACCAGATGTGTGTTTGACTGACTCACCCTAACAAAACATAATACTCATGAGGTTAGTCTTGTTCACTGTTGGTGGAAGTCCACCAAGTATTCTATTTCCCACATCTTGGCCTCCCAGGAACCTACCGGGATAGAAATTCCTAAGGTTATGTGACTGATCCTAGAACAAGTACCATGAGTGGGGTGCTGATGTAAAAGGTCTACAGCACCCAGGATTCCTAAGTGGTCACAGATCACACATGTTCTGGGTGTATCAGTCAGGAGAGGATCAGTTATGCCTCAGTAACAAACAACCCCAAATTTTAGTGGATTAAAAGTAACAATCATTTCCCAGTAGTGCGTTGACTTGGGACTGTCCTCTGCTTTGTTCTTACATTGAGACCTGCACAGGTGGAGAAACTGTGATCTGAAACATGACCTGTCACTAGGGCAGAGGGAAAGAAAGCTCTGGAAAGTCTCACACTGGCAACTATTGCATTCACAATCCATTGACCAGGACTAGTCACAAAAATCCCATCCAACTCCAAGCGAGGAAGTACCATCCTGCCATGGGCCCAGAAGAGAGAGCTGGAAATATTTGAACACAGCAAGTGACTATCGGCCCTTAACACCTGCACACAGTAGGCACGCAACAAACATTTGCTGAGTGAATTAATGTCACACTCCAAACACGGTGCCTGGCACACACTCAACACAGCGCCCAGCACTCAATCCATGAGAGGTATTGATAACATGATTGGAGTTGCTTTGCTGGACTCAGAGGTTTCAAACAGTTGGGCAAACGGCGTATGGAGAATCACATCACTGAAATCACTTGTCAAACTCAGCACCCAGGTGCGACCGTGCCAGGGAGGATATGTCCTACCTAAGTGCTCCGTCTGAACAGTGTCACTGCCATTCGTTGAGGAGGGTTTCAGAAGAGCTGCCAATGTGGTGCTTTCCACGCTCTCCATTAAGACTGTGGCCAGGGTGGATGTCTCATCTTTGGTGAAGTTGGCCCACATGCGTGTTTGTTCAAGCACAGAGGTGAAGCTCTCAGCCGAACTCTGCAAGGAAAAGGGTGTTCACTCGCTTTGCTCTCTCCTCTCTCGCCCTCTCTCTCTGGCTGTCTCAGTCTCTGTCAGCCTTTTAGTCTCTCTCTCTCTGTCTCTTTCTTCTCTCTCTGTCTCTCTCTTTATCTCTCTCCTCTCTCTCCCCTCCATGAAATAGCACCTGTCCTCTCTCATCAAGAGAGTGGTTTGACAGTCTAGGCTGATGAAGAATAAAAAGGGCGTCCGCTCAGCCTCACTTTCCCTGATTCAAGAGACCCCACTGGGAATGCAAATCGGTGCATTCTTTAGGTGGTGCAGTAAGTCAGCCCCTGTAACGGCATAAACTGTACATACTCTTTGACCCAAAATCTCCCCTTCTAGGAATTAATCTTTCCAGAAATACTTTAAAATTCTGCAAGGATCTAATTCGGTGATGTGCATTCCAGTGTGGTTTGTGATAGCTAGAAGTCAGAGAGGCTCAATGTGCAACAGATCGGTTTAAGTAAATGATGAAATCAAATTCAGGCGCAGCTGCTAATAAAAGAATGAAGCCGTGTGTCAACGATTTAACAAGCGAAAGGTCCGTGAGCTACTGTTAAGTAAAGCACATTACAGACTGACCTGCATATATTATCTCATTTAGTTTAAAAAGCTACTTTAAAATGTTATATCTATGGTATTTATGTTTCTGGCACATAGAATAAAAATAACTAACACTTACTATGAGCCAGGTATTGTTTTAAGTGTCACATATTAACTTATTTAACTTTAGAAAGAGATCTAGAAGGTATAGCCTATTACCATTTCCGTTTTTGGATGGAGAAACAAGGTCACATATGTAGTAGGTGGCAGGACCAAGTTTTGATCGCTGGCAGTGTGGAATCAGGCTGAATCCTCAGTCACTGCTCTAAACCTCTCACAGTAGGTGCTCGATAATAAATGGCTTCAATGTCTGTGTGTGTCTGTGGTACACTCACAAAGTAAAGAGGTATAGAAAATACACATGTAAATGCTACATGGCTTATGTCTGTGAAATAGAGGTAAGAAACAACCAGCAATAATAATAATAGTAATAGTAATGTTGATACTATTCCTGTGATTATTGTCAATAAATAACTATAAAAGGTGACTCTGACCCCAACCAACATATATATATATACATACATACATATATATATAATTCACAACCTAATAAATCAAGGAAGAAACTGATTGAATCCGGTCAGACAGTGAAGGAAATTAACCTAAATCTTAGCAGGGATACTATTTATTCAAATTAGGTAATAAAAAGGTGGGAAAGTTTTTCAATAAAAACTGGGTCAGGATGAAACTTGAGAGATGATTGTCCAGGAGAAACAGGTGCACTGAGATCTGTAACTGTTTCCCAGCTGAAAGTCAGGAGTTTGGGGCCCCTCCCCACCCACATAGCAGAAAACATCTCAACTAGAGTCACCCTGAAAAAAGTGGCTAATGAAATCACATCAAAACTCCCTTTGAAATGTTAAATCTGTTCTTAGCTAGGTAATTTATTTTGTATCCTCAGGGAAGTAAAAAATTAATATAACTAATTTAGCTTAGTTTTTAACTTTAATATAGGCAAACAGACTCGACAGTGGTAATACTTTTGTGTTAAATTTAGAAGATTTTGTAATTTTTGGCATAATCAGGAAATCTATTTGAAGGGTTTGGGACAATTTGACACATTTGAGAAGCTAACCAATTAACCACGTGATTTCACTGAAAAAAACAATTAGACTTGTGATTTTAACATAAACAATTTAAGAGAATGTAGCTGTTTATAAATTGTATTAAACATTTTAAAGCCTAAATTATAATATTTATACATTTGATTAGATTTATGAATCCCTTAAGGACATAGTGACCGTGCCTTTTAGGTTTGTAAATTTCCTCATTACTAGGTACTTGAAATTTGGGGGAAATAAGAATATTTATAAACATACTATAAAGTGTTTGAGGGAATTTAAACTAAATAGTTAATCATTTATAGAAGTTTAATCTAAAAACCCTATGAATAAATGTACATTTAAGGAATAAGTATGTTACAATAATAAGTTAATTTTAAATTAATTAAATTATAAATGAAAGTGTTACTCTTGTTTTCATACAAAAAAAATAAAATAACTTCCGTTAGTCCGACTTAAAGACTAAAGAAAAACTAGGTTTTAAATCTACAGTTGTAATGATCTACTAATCCCACTCCTAGGTACATACCCTAGAGAAATATAAATTCAGGAACATGCACACAAAAAACTGTACGTGAATGTTTATAGCATCTCTACTGATAATCACTAAAAGCTGGGGTGGGGGTAGGAAATGAAGAGGTGCTGTTCAAGTGGAAACAATTCAAATATTCTTTAAAGATGGGTGGATAAACAGTCTATGGGCCATCCATACAGGGGAATATTACTCAGCCATGAAAAGGAATGAGGCACTGCCACTCACTGCAATGTGGATGGACCTTGAACACATGATGCTCAGTGAGAGGAGCCAGACAAAAAAGGCCTGAGTGTGTGATTCCGTTTACGTGAAATGTCCAGAACAGGCAAATCCACAGAGACAGAAAGTAGATTAGTGGTTGCTGGGTTGGAGGATGAAGGGAGATGCTTATGCAGTTTCCTTTTGGGGTGGTAAGAATATTCTGGAACTATAGTGGTGATGGCTGCTCAACATTGTGAATGTACTAAATGTCACTAATGGTTACCAAAAAAAGGGCATGGGACTATTAATAAACACAGCATTGACAGCTCTCAAAGGCATTGTGCTGAGTGTGCTGAGTGAAAAAAGCCAGACACAAAGGACCACATACTGTGTGATTCCATTTATATGTTTTAAAAAGATAAAACTATGACAGAACAGATCAGGGATTTATAGGGGCTAGTGGTGGACAGAGTATGTGACTATAAAGGGGAAGCCCAAGGGAACTGTTCTGTATTCTGATTGTGGTGGTAGTTATACCAATCTGCTCGGGTAGTGATAAAACTTGTCCAGAAAGGGGCAATTTTACTGTATGTTAACTTTTAAAACCTTATAACTTTGATAAATTAAATGTTAACTCACAACGCAATTATAAAGAGGGCTTTCCGCACCCAAAGTGTCCCCTGGGATGTTTAAAACATGAAATACAATTACAAAGACGTCGTCATTACCTTCATAGAAACAACAGTGGTGTTGTTTGCACAGGCCGCGTCCAGAACGCTGAAGGTGGCATTCACTAGTGCGCAAAAGGAAACCTGCGCCCGGAAGAAAGCGCATTCATGAGCATTGACCTATTCCTCCCCAAGCATTCAGGTACCAACTGGGCCACCAAGCCCACCGTATGGGGTGGCCCTTAGTCCCGGAGGCGTCATGAGTCTGTAGAGTTCTCAGGGAAATAAAAACTCACCATATGATCAAAATTGAAACCACAGCACTTCTCTCTTCCACGAATAAAACATCGAAACAACATAAAAGCAAAACTATATAGGAGGATAGAAAGATGGGGAAGTGTGTGAAAAAAATCAGTGTCTAAATTGAATTCTACTCATCCATGAAAAGGAGGGAAGCGCGGACACTCGCTATAACAGGGATGAACCTTGAAACCATGATGCTCAGTGAGAGCAGCCAGACACAAGGCCATACAGCGCGTGAGTGCCCTGATGTGAAGTGTCCGGAACAGACACGCCCATGGAGATAGAAAGTCCATTAGTATCTGCCAGGGCTGGGGAAGGAATGGCAGTAACTGGATAGGCACAGGGTTTCTCTCGGGGGTGACGAGAATGTTTTGGAGCTGGAAGTGGTGGTTGCGCATCACTGTGAATGTACTAAATGCCCCTCGGTGGTTGTGAGAATTTCCCAGAGCCCAGAGACCGAAGAAAGAGGCTGGCAGGTTCCCAAAGGGCCTGGCCTCTCAGGGGGCCCTTACCCTGCACTTGGAGACAAAATTCCCCCAGGAATGTTTTTCCCTGAATATCCATTCCCAAAGTATTTTCCTGGATTGGGGAAATGAACACTAAACAAGGGGAAGGCACCCTGCTTGGACAGGAACCAGATGATTTTTTCCTACTAGCAGGAAATATAGCTTTGTGGGCCCCTCAAACACCTGGGCATAGATAGTCTGTCTCATTCCTACTTCTGGCAACAAATAGTGAGGCTCCTCAATGGACTTCCAGGGACTAGCTTGTCCTGGTAGGTCTCCCTCATTCCACCAGGCCTCCCACATCCATTATCCAGTCCATTAAAGAATGATCTCCCTGGGCCTGGCCCTATAAAATATGCCTTAGTGCTGGGTGACTGGTGATATTTGTTCATTTTTTTCCCTTGAGGTCGGGAGAGAGATCCCATCAGCTTGTGTCCCAAAGCCTTGCCATCCAAAGTTGAAAGGCTTTCTTGTGCCTTTTGTTGAAATTTAGCCACAATATCTAGCAGTTCAACCAGGGAGTATTCTCTGATTATTCAAGTTTCTTGTACAGGGTCCTTCGTTACCACAGTGGGCCAGACAGTGCTCAGCAAGCAAGGCACCAGCCCTGCCAGCGTTTGCAGGGGTCCCCGTGCGCACACAGTGACCACAAGCATCCAACATAGGGGCCCCCCTTCCCCACATGGAGGCCAACGGCTAACCCAGCATGGCCCCAGGAAGCTTCCTTCCTTTCCCCTTTCCCCGGTCTCCTGGCTGGCTCGCCATTTCTTGGGAAAGTTTCCTGGGGCCAAGAGGCTGACAACTCCAGAATGACATCAAGAGTTCACCAGGGGAAGCTATGGACAGAAGCAGCGCCTGGGGGCGGCAGCGGGCCGGCAGATACCAGCCCCGAAAGGGGATGGAGTCTGATTGATACATCGGCCTCCAAGAACACGGTGGCTCCGAGCCAGCAGCACGTCCTGGTTAAGTACCATTTACTCCAAAGCAGAAAACAGCTTAATGGGCCCTCTCATCTATGCAAGAACATTCCTTTCAGGTGAAATGGGCCCACCTCACCAGGGGTGAATTGGTGGTCAGCTTGCTTCATTAGACAGCAACTGTCAAAACTTTAAGTACCGGGAATCACTTTGCCTAACAATTGTACGCTTTAAAATGGTTTAAATGGTGAGTCTTTTATGTGTGTTTTATCACAATATAAAAAACAACAGTGGTCCAAAGTGCATGAGAATTCCTAAGCTAATTTCCAAGCTCAGATTTAAGATAGTGACCTCAGTTCCTATCGACTCTCATGAAGGCTGGACTCACTACAATGACTTCACTTGAGAACCAGGACATCCACATTCCTCTTTGGCTGCCCTAGGGGCTGTGTCACATCCATCCTATGTCACACACATGCAGCCCCAACACTTTCACTGGTAGTGAGACTCCAACATCTTTTCTTCTTTTAGTAAAAGAATCTCCAAGTTTTAAGTAAGCAAATGCCCTCTCTTCTAGGCTTTCCTTTTGGCTGTGTGACCATGCGACTACTTTCTAGCGAATAAGAGATAAGCAGAAGCGATACTATGTCATAGTCTTAAAGAAAAGGACAGTGCTTTTCAATTCCCCTTCTCCCACGCCCACCAGCTGGAATGCAGATGTGATGGCAGGGGCTGCAGCAGCCATCTTGGGCCACAACGAGGGAGTCTTGTGTTAATGATGGCAGAGCATTATGGAGCCATCATATCAGCTCTCAGCAGCCTACACTCAGACTGTTACAAAGAGAGAAATAAACTGCTGTCTGTTTTAGGGCACTGCTCATTTTACCTTTGTTAAAGATGCAAACAATATCCTATTTAATTGGCTTCCAGGAAAACTTAAGTTGGTTGGGCATCATCCCGTGCACCTAAAGGTTGCCTGTTCAATTCCTGTTCAGGGCACATGCCCCAGTTGCAGGCTCAATGCCCGGTGGGCATGCAGGANAATTCCTGTTCAGGGCACATGCCCCAGTTGCAGGCTCAATGCTCGGTGGGCATGCAGGAGGCGGCGAATTGGTGTTTTGCTTTCACACTGATGTTTGTTTCTCTCTCTATCTTTCCCTTCCTCTCTTTCTAAAAATCAATAAAAAAATCTTTAAAAAAAATACTTTCAAAAATACTTACATCTTCAGGCTCCACTGCTGCTCCCACTTGGCATAGCAGGACCTGTTTATTGTTGGGCATCACATCTTCTTTACACTTGAAGGGTACTCCTAGGAAGAAAACAAAAGCAACCCAATCAAAATCAAACTTAACCACAGCAAGATATGACTAAGCAAGTCCGATTGCCTCACACCCTGCTTAAATCCACCTATTGCCATATTATACAACAGTGGAAATAAACGTACTATACCCTACAACAATAGGGACTCTAAGATGTTTTATAAAGCTCCAAAGCAAACATAACTAACCAAGGTATTGCTTAGGAATACNACCTATTGCCATATTATACAACAGTGGAAATAAACGTACTATACCCTACAGCAACAGGGACTCTAAGATGTTTTATAAAGCTCCAAAGCAAACAAAACTAACCAAGGTATTGCTTAGGAATACATACAAGGGGAGAAATATTTTTTAAGTAGGGTAATTATAACACAAAGTTCAAAGTGGTTCCCTCTGGGACGGAGACAGGGATATGGAATGGGGGAGAAGCAAGGCCATCAATTATATTCTACTTCTTATGTTGGCAAGGGCCTCAGAGAGATTCATTTTATTACTGTACTTCATTGCTTCCATGTAAGTTATCTATATTTTTAACGTCTCAAATAATCCATAATTTAAATTTTGTAAACATCTTATTGTTTCTCATTGTTCTTGGCAAAAAAAGACTCAAAAATTCTTTGAATGTCTCACAATATCTTGCAGAATCTGACCTTTGCCCACCTTCTCAGATGCAGGTAATGCCATTTCCCTCTGCCCTTTCTCTGTGTTAGCCTCAGGCCCTTTGCATGTGATCTCCATGCTTCATCTGGATAATTCCTACTCTTGCTTCAAGCTTCAGCTTAAATGGTATTTGTCAGCAACATATTAAATATCCCATTAGTCACTCCAAGGTGTTCTAAGATTTTTAAATGGTCACATTCATCGTGGTGATTAAATAATTACATATGTGCTCTCTACTTTCTTCCCTAGACTATAAGCAAGTATCATGTCCATCATCTCCAGGACTGAGTTCTCAGTACTTAGTGCAGGGGTCGGTTTGATTCATTAACTAATTAAAAGATGCTCCAAAAATAATTTATTGAATGAGTGAATTAATGAATGAGTAAATCAATGAATGAATAAAGAGGGAACATGGGTATGAGGTGGAAGTAAGAAAAGGATCCAGCGGGTGGGCAGAGTGAGCAAGACACAGATTGCATTGCCAAGACACACAGGAGATCATTACGTTTGCAGCTGAAGTTGCCATATTTCCAGGAGCCTTCCGGCTTGGGACGAAAGCCCTCAATGCAGCCGCAGCTGTAGGAGCCCAGGGCATTGGTGCAGGCAGAATTGGGGCCACATGGTGATGGATCTTGAACACACTCATCAACATCTGCAAAGAGCCCGAGAATATCAAACAACCAAAAGAACAAGGAGATATTTCTTCCCAGGGATGTCCAGACAACGCTCCACTCACCTCTACATTCCACCTCTTGCCCTGTGAAGTTCAGCCGTCCGTTGCTTGGCGCAAAGCCAGGGTGACAGGTGCAAAAGTAGGTCCCAAGGGTATTGGTGCATGTGGCGTTGAAAGGGCACATATCCGGGCACTCATCAATATCTGTGTAGTAGAGATCGGGCGTGGAGCAGAGTTGGCCAACAGGCCAACAAAAGCCATGCTTCCCATTCTGAGGCATAGAATTGTCACTTAAATAACGGCAGCCCAGCCAGAGACTGCATTGCCCAGAACCCTCCACTTCTGGGTTTCTTTTGACATCCTTTCTGTAAATGACGACCTGTTGGCTAATGTGTAACTTCAGATAAACAGCCTGCTTGCTAAAGAATTCTAGGAACTGCCCTGGCCAGTTTTGCTCAGCTGTTAGAGCTTCGGCCGCAGACTTGAAGGGTCCCAGGTTCGATGCCAGCCAAGGGCAGGTACCTTGGAGGCAGGCTTGATCCCCGGCCCTGTTCGTGGGGGAGGCAACTCGTTGATGTGTCTCTCTCACATCTCTCCCCCTCCCCCCCCCACACTGTCCACTCTCTCTGAAAAAGCAATGGAAAAAATAGCCTTGGGGGAGGATTACCAAAAAAAATAATAATAAATTCTAGGAACTAGCTTTAAAAGAATCAGACTCCACCCTCCAGGTCTTCCAGCTCCGGGAGATTAGCCGACCTTCAACCAGTTATCGGAACAGACCGTGGTCCTCTCAATGGGGAACTCTCAGCCCCCTCCTTTCGATTCCTTTGTTCTGTTTTTCTTTCTTCCTCCTTACAAAAAACCCTGCCTGTGTCCAATTGTTAGGATGGTCTTTTCCACATCAGTCCAACATCTTCTCAGGCTGCCAGTTCTTGAATAAACCTACTTTCCTTTCACCCACCCTTGTCTCTTAATTATCGGCTTTTGAGTGGCAGGCAGCTGAACCTGGGTTCGGTATCAGTGTGACTAGTCTTCATTTATAGAATGTGAAAGGGTATGACATTTGTCATTTCTGGGCCCATGTGGCCAAGAAGTGGATGTGCCTTCTCTCTCTTGCCTCCCACTGGCTGGGACCAGGGATTCCAGGGTCCTAAAGGATAGAAGAACCAAGAGATGCAAGGAGGTTGGATCCCTATTATTACCTGTGGAGGGAGGCTGCCCATTGGCCAGGTAGATCCATATTGGATTGCTATGAGTGTAAAAAATTTCTATTATGTTAAACTAATGGTTCTCAGCTGGGGCAATTTGCCTCCTCCAGGGAACACTGGGCAATGTCTGGAGACACTTTTACTGTTAAGACTCGGGGAAGAGGTGCTACTGGGATCTAGTAGGTAGAGGCCAAAGACACTGCCAAACGTCCTACAGGACAACAAAGAACTATTGAGCCCAAAACGTCAGTAGTGCAAAGGTTGAGAAACCCTAGCCTAACAAATAAAGTGCTATCAGGTCACTATGGCAACACAGGGTTTCTTCTTCCCCTGAGGATTTCTGAGCCACAAAAGATGTGTGGAATTGAATGCTCTAGAAAAGTAATTAGGAGGGAGGTAATGACATTTCTGGGTCAACTCATAAACAGGCGGCATCACTAGTCGCTGAAGCAGGTATATGATACATTGCATTGGGCATTACCATGGAGAGCTGGGGCAAGAAGTCCTTGTGATGTGAATGTAGACTAATTTGGAGTCATCAAAGGACATGAAAATGGCCCACAGTTGGAAGACATGGGGAAGTGGTTGTACTCTTGGTGTCACAGAAACATGTCTAGCTGGGCTGGTGGCTCAGTGGTTGAGCATTGACCTGATTCCCAGTCAGGGCACATGGCGGGGTTGCAGGCTCATCCCCAGTAGGAGGAGTGCAAGAGGCAGCTGATAGATGTCTCTCTCTTTCTCTCTCTCATCGATGTTTCTACTTTTCTATCCCTCTTCTTCTCTCTCTAAAGTCAATAAAAAACTTTTTTTAAAAAAAGAGAAAACATCTCTAACCAGGGAGTGAGCTCCCCATTTCCAGACATATTTAAGCACTGACTAGGCAAGCTCTTGTCAGAAATAGCAGAGATGGAATTTATGTTTTGTATATGAAGCTGGACTAGTGCATGACTTTCAAAACTTTTTGGCCCGGAAAACCTTTGTTCATGTGAAGTGAAACCTGAGTAGGTAAGACAAATGAAAGAGGTGATAGTGTGACCGAAAGGGGGATGGAAGTCCATGGCTTTGCTTTCTTGCCCTTGACTGAGATTCTGAGTAGATTCCCAGGAGCCATTAGAGCTGTATTACTCTCTTTAAGGTCCGTTTCAATTTTCTCTCTGTATTGTTCCACTTCTAACAACGTCAACAGCTAGTGTAGATCAATAAGAAGAAATAGACCATGGGGTTGAGGAATATAAAATGTGTTCTGCAGTGTAGTAGATACTCTGAGGACGGCCTTTATCAACCCCTCTACTTTCTGTACGCACATGCTCCCCCAGCGAGATGGGGAGTTTATTTCTCCTTCCTCTGAATCTAGGCTGGCCCTGTGACTGTGACCAATAGAATATGGTAGAAGACTGCCAAGCCCAGGCCTTATGAGGACTAGCATTTCTGCTTTCTGCCCCTTTCAACATTCCTTCTTGGAGACCAGCTGCCATGCCATGAGGAAGCCTAAGCAGCCATGTGGAAAGGCCCATGATGAAAATCAGGGGGCCCAACTAAGCCCCCAGCCAGAGACCAGCACCAACTACCAGCCACATAAATAAGGCCATTTCAGAACTGCCAGCCATCCTGGTGCCCCAGAAAACCCATGTGGTCAACCTGTAAAATCATGAGCAAGGACAAAGAGTTGTTATTATATGCCACTGCATTTCAGAGTCATCTGACATCCACTGAGAAGTCCTCCTCATGGCTGGGGTAATTACCTGTACATTTGAAAGCCTCTGGTTGCTTGGGGTTCCAAAAATCAGGTGAACTGAACCCAGGCAGGCAGGAACAACTGTATCCTCCTGGGATGTTGGTGCAGAGAGTACTGGGACCACAAAGAGTCGAGTTTCTGGAACATTCATCCACATCTAAGCAGAAAATTGGTCTAGGTCATAAGGATGAAGGATGCTGAGGCCGTAACAGCAGTACACAGCCCACCAGGGACAGAAGCCAAGGGGGGCTTCCCTGGCCCCCGTCTCACCTTCTTACACACACTTTCATCGCTATGGAAGGGAAGCATTGAGAGGCATGTGTATGGCCCACCCAAATCTCCTGAAGAGGCTCCCCACAGCTCAGGGTAAGACCCATACTACTCACCAGAACCTACGAGACCCTGAGAGCCTGCTCCCAGCCAAGTTCACCTCCCTCATCTTCTGCTTCCAACCCCTGCATCACTCGTGATCCAGATTCGTTGACTATCTGTAGGTTCGTGAAGGCTCTTCTCTCTCACCTGTGTTCCCTCAGCCTCAAACTCATTCACTCCCTTCTTTCCCTGGTGAATGTCATTCCCTCTCCACTATATTATTAATAATAATAACAACTTAGATGTATCAGAATGGAGGCCTGGAGGACGTGGACATGTTGGGTTCAAAGCCTGGCTCCGACCCTCATAAACTGTGTGTTACTGGGTGCTATGAACTTAATTATGCCCCCCCATTCACATGTTGAAGCGCTAACCCTCAATGGTATAGTATTTGGGCATGACCCTATGGAACATAATTAGGTTTAGATGAGGTCACGGGGGTGGGGCCTTCATGATGGGGTTAGTGCTCTTATAAGAAGGGGGAGAGACAAAAGAGTTCTTTCTCTCTCTGTCATGTGAGGATGCAGCAAGAAGGCAGTCATCTGCAAGCCAGGAAGAGGGTCCTCACCAGAACCTGGTCACACCAGGACCCTGATTTAGACATCCAGCCTCCAGAAAAGTAATGTCTGTTGTTTAAGCCCCTACCCTGCAGTGTTTTGTTGGTAGCCTGAACTGACCAATGCTCTGGACAAGAGAATTTATCTGTGTGTCTCAATTTCTGTCAGATGGGGATACTAACAGAACCCATTCCAGAAGGCTATTTAGGGGATTCAATAAGGTGATATCTGTAAAACACTCAGAACAGAATCCAGGGCATAGCATGGACTACGTAAGGATCTGTTAACTAAAATAAAAAATTAACTGCTAACATGTTGAGCTTTCCTTGTGGCAGGCACTGAGGTAGATCCTTTACTTTACATGCATTAGCTCAACAAATGCTCAGAGCAGTCCTATGAGGTAATGTTAATGTTATTTCCATTTTTCAGAGAAGGAAACTGAGGCTCCAAAATTGTGCAGCGTCACATAGCTTGTGAAAGGTACAACAGGGATTTAAATGCAGGCTCTGTCTGGCTCTGAAATTTTTAGATGGCAGCTTCCTGGGATGTCTTGAGTCTCGGAGTCTGGAAATACAGTGATAGAATCGCCCACCCTGAGGTGCCAGAGTTTGCAGCCTGATTTGGAGGCAGAATGACATGGTGGTTGGGAGCATGGGTGTGAAGACACACGTAGGCATGGTTCAGATGCTGACCCTCCTACCTCCTGTCTATTTGACCCTGGGAGAGTAACTCCACCACAGTGGAGGCTCTGTTTCCTCATCTCAGAAATGAGTATAAAATATCACCAATAGTACCAGGTTGTTGGAGAGGGTGGAAGAGGTCACACATGGAAGAACTTAGTGCCTTAGCTGAGATCCTGCCTCCAGGTCTTTGTACCTGCTGGTCCCTCCTCCTGGAACACCCTTCCTTGGATACCCAATATCTCACTCCCTCAATTCCTTCAGATCTTTCTCAAATATCAACTTCTCGGTGTGGCCCTTGCTCTACTAAAATTAGAAGCCCACTCCAGCACTCTCGATCTGCCTTTCCTGCTTTATTTGTCTTCATCTCCTTTAACTATCCCAGACACACAACACATTCATGCACTTATTTTCTTTGTGATCTGTCTCCCTCCATGCTAGGTGACAAATTACAGAGCAGCTATTTTTGCCTGTGTTTTCACCACTGTATCCACAATCCCTAGAATAGTGCGTCACGTAAAGCAGGTGCCCCAGAAGTATTTGTTGAATGAGTGCATGAATGAAAGAATAAATGAATGATTATTGGCTTCAGCTTTGCAGATGAGGGCTTTGAACTCAGCTGAGATCCACCCCACTTTCTGCCCCACCACTGCTATCTTTGCAAACTGGCTTGGACCTGAGACCCCCAACAGACCTCTTCACCTACCTTCACACGTCCTTCCTGGGCCACGGAAATTCATGTTTCCACTGCTGGATTCAAATCCTGGGTTGCAGACACAAGAGTAGCTTCCAAGACTGTTGTGGCAGGTCGCATGCTCTGGGCAAGCTCTGGGATCGGCGCATTCATCCACCTCTGGTGAGTGGAAATGAAAACCTGGGTCAAGACAGGTGAGGACAGGAGACTGCAAGCAGGAGATCCCCTCTACGTGTTCCTAATTGGTGACACACAGTGCTGCTGCTCCCCAATACCCATGCTCCCCTCTTCTTCCTATCCTACCTTGCATGAGGTGTGCCCAGGGAGAATAAATTTTGGCCAACAGTGTGTAAGCAAAAGGGTGGCAAATAGTTTCAAAACATCATGGATCATAGATAACAGAGGTGTTCATGGTCTTTCACTCCCACACCCTGGGATATGGACTGTGCAGTGCCACACAGCTCTGCCACTCCTCTCTTTAAGATGTGGAGCTGTGTCCCCACCTCCTGAATCGAGCTGGCCCTGTGACTTGCGTTGGCAAATAGAATGCAGCGAAAGTGATATGGTGCCAGTTCCAAACTTAGGCCTCTAGAGGGTTGGTTGTCTGCTTCTGCTCATTTTCGGGGCTTCTGCCATATGAACAAACCCTGGACTGGCCTAACGAAGAATAAAAGACAAAGTGGAAGAGAGACGGATGCCCCAGACACGTGGGCAGCCTAACCGAGATGGGCAAAGCTGACTCCTGAACGACCCCAGGTGAGACCCAAAGGGCTGGCCCGCAAAGCCCGACCTCAACTGCCCGGACGTGGGATCAAGAGGCAAGTAAATGGTGGTTGCTTTTAGCCACTGGCTTTCAGGGCGACCTGTTAGTCAACAATAGCAAACTGCTACACATGGACCGACTCCAAATTCCTCCGGCTCCAAGGCAAGGGGGTACATGAGCTTTGATGGCACCAAGCAGTCACCCTCCCCACATGAACGTGGGAACATGGGCTGCACCAGCCTCGGGAGCATGAGGCCGTCTCTCAGTGAGAATATTCCGACTGCAACGCAGAGGGTGGGTTCAAAGAGGCAGGACTGAGAAGGGAAGAGACTGCCTCGGCCATTGTGATGCTTGGACCAAAGATGGGGAAAAACGGGGAGATTCAAGACCATTTACCAGGTCGATTCCCCAAGACGTGATGGCTGATTTAATATGGAAGGAGAGGGAGGATCAGGGGTTAACTCTCAGGCCTTAACTCAAATGCTTTTTTGGAGAAAGTTCTGAAGTTTGGGTCTCCCTGGGACAGAGTGTCTCTACCTTAGCACTACTGACAGGTGGGACAGGATCATTTTTTTTTGAATCCTCACCTGAGGATATTTTTTCCATTGCTCTTCAGAGAGAATGGAAGGGAGAAGAAGAAGAGGGAGAGGGAGAGAGAAACATCGATGTGAGAGAGAAGCATCGATTGGTTGCCACCTGCACCCTGACTAGGGCCGGAGATCGAGCCTGCAACCGAGGCACATGCCCTTGGCTGGGATCAAACCCAGGACCCTTCAGCCCTCGGGCTGACACTCTATCCACTGAGCCAAACCGTTTTTGTATAGATGTATATGTGAATAAAAACAACTCCATTTCTGTGTCTGGGTCTCATTTCATTTTAAGTTTCATGCTGTAAATAACTTCACTGTCCTTAGCATGCATATCAAGCCTTCTAGTTGATGATTATCTGTGTTCCTTAAAATGTAGCCATAAATATTTGTGTTAGTAATGGCCAGAACGCCATGACAACCAAGATAAACATCAAACTGACCCTCTGTCACAAGACCACCAGGAGCTATGGCACCTGGCGCTACTGGACTCCATTCTTTGTCTTATCAATCACTAGTACCCGAGTTATACTATAAAAAGCACGGTAACAGGGGTCTGGTAGTGGACAATAATCTGCACAGACGGCTGGGCTCTCTGTTCTGCTCTGACCCGATCTTCCCGTAAGTGACCTATAACAAATTCTGTTCCACAGAGTGGCCTCCTTCGTTCTACAGTCCGAAGCTAACTTCTCACTACGGTGGCCAGTGCCTTTGCCCATCACCAGATGATTTTTGACTGTGGGAAGCTGTCCTGCGCATCGTAACGTGTTTAGCAGCATCTCTTGCCCCTACCCACTAGACAACCGTAGCACACCCAACCCCACCGCCACCACCATTTGTGACAATCAAAAATGTGTCCAGGTGTGGCCAGTGTCCTCTGGGAGAAAGGTCGCTCTAGGGACAGAGCCCCCTGTACTCCCAAGTACTTCCTGACCCCACTGCTTAACTCGTAGTAAGATCTAAACAGGCGTTCAAATCCCAGCCCTTCCACTTTAATAGCTGTGTGCCCCTGAGCAAGTGACTTCACCTCTCTTAGCCTCAGTTTTCTCATCCTTAAAATGAGGCTCTTCACCCCTGTTGGAAAGGATCATCAAGAGAGGCGAGTGAAGTAGGCGAATGAAGCAGAGCAGGCCTTCCGTACCTTCACAGAGGGAGTTGTTAGAGATGAACCCATCTCGGCAGTGGCAGCTATAGCTTCCCAAATGGTTGGCGCACTCAGCATGGTCTGGGCAGGCCCCGCCGTCCAGGCACTCGTCCACGTCTGCGGAGCAGCGGAGGGGAGTGAGCAGGCGACAGGCCGCTGTCTAAGGTCCGCCACACATGTGCCCAGCTCGGCAGCTACCCACCAAAGGCCCATGCGGAGCCCGGGAGCGTTACCTGTACAGGAGAAATGCCTGGACTTTTTCGGGGTCCAGTTATCGCCGGTGGGAGAAGAGAAGCCAGGCAAGCAGCTGCACGTGTACCTCCCCGGCAGGTTTTTGCAGACTGAGTTAGGGCCGCATTGTGGGGGTCTTAGGGAACATTCATCTACATCTAGGCAGAGAAAGAGTCAGATTACAAATTTGCCTCATCTTGTAGAAAAGGCTTTCTTTTCCAAAGATGGCTGTGATGCCTTCCATTCCTTGTGCCCTTCATTCGGTGTGAATTTGGCACTCCTTCCGTCAAGCAGCGGCCTATTGCCCTCCTCTTGAACCTGAGCAAGTCATTCCAGCTCTTCGAGCTGCAGTTTCCTCATCCGTCCAATGGAGAAGCATCACACTGCACCTAAAGCCTTCGCACGGGGCCCAGCACTCAAGAGGTGTTAGAAAATCTTATTATCTGCATGGAGAGGCAGAAGGAGGGTCCCCAAAATGAGATCAGTGGTTATTTCTGGATATTGATAAGTAGCATGATCTTTATTTTTATTTATTGCAATGCTAGACTCTAATCATCGGAAATTTTAGTGACCAGGAATCATTTTCATGATAGAAAGGAGGTGGAGGGGCAGAAAGGGAGGGAGG